GCAGGAATTAAACACCAGTTTGAAAGGGCGCTGTGTTCCAGCGCCACTAATGCATCGAGGGTTACTGGCCAACTTCTTCACATAAAGGCAAGAATAAGGGTGTGTGTGTGAACATGTGTGTAAACATGTGTGTGAACATGTGTGTGCGGAGGGATTATGGGTGGAGCCGGCCACAGCTGCTTAATTTTTGTCAACCTTTTTTTTTTTTTCCTTAGCAGGAAGGAGGCTTGTGGTTACTTACCATCCTCGTAAGCCGCTACCGCCAGCGAGCTGTTTATCCTCACAAAGGAGACATATGGCTGCATTCCAGGCTCATCCTCCTCGTAGTCCGATTCCAGGAAGGGGGCTGTGTAGTCCCAGGTGCGGGTGTCCCACACCCTCACGTCCCCTGATGTATATCTGGAAAAGAAGGACACGCCTGATTCCAAACGGGGAGTGAAGAGCAGGGCCACCATGGAGAGAATGGGGAACAGAGGAGTCAGATCTGGCCGGTGTGGAGCCACTGCTGCAACACTGTTTACACGAGTCACTCCAACAAGAGGAAATGGTAACTCCGTAACAGAAAGGCCAAGAGCACATCTCCTGTTCTCATAACACAATGGGGACAATTTCAAACGAGAATACTACTGTAATAAAAAGTCGGGTAGCAAGATCTCCTTGTTTTTCCTTTTTGACTATTATAACCGATCTGCTACCTTAAGTCCTCCCAGTAAAGGGATCACTAGCAGAAACGTGTAGAAGCCATGCTATTCACACACAGACGCGCACACGCGGAAGACAGAGAGGGAACTGCTAAGGACTAATGGTCTTACAGGCACAAGCCTTCTAATACTTCATCCATGCATCAGATTTGACTGATTAAAGTCCCTAAAGACTAATTGATTTGCTGAAACAATTAAATCTTGCCTTTAGCAGCCAGACAGTGCTGCCTTCTCATGAAAAGCTCTTGCCAACATGTATGACACTCCCCGGTCTTGCCCGCTTAGAGGACAGGAGTGCTCACTCTCTCCGATTACACCTGCCACTGCAGCCAATGCCTCACTCCATCAACGCCAAGGCAGGGCCAGAACCTGCCCAGACACCAGGCCCCAACGATAATGGAACGGCCAGATGATGAGGTGGTGCGCGGGCTGCCACTGAGGTGTCTACGCTAAGTTCCTCACATCTGCTACAGGCGGGTTGATTCAACATGTAAAGCAACGGTGGGAAAGCACGTTAGAAACGGGGTAATGTATGTATATCGATGCTCCTCTCACTTCACCCCAGCTTCCACCTCTCCCCTCCGGCCCCGTGTCCTCAAGTCCATTCTCTATGTCTACGTCTTTATTCCCGCCCTGCCACTAGGTTCATCAGTACCATTTTTTTTTTTTTAGATTTCATATATATGCGTTAGCATATGGTATTTGTTTTTCTCTTTCTCTTACTTCACTCTGCATGACAGACTCTAGGTCCATCCACCTCACTACAAATAACTCAATTTTGTTTCTTTTTATGGCTGAGTACAGGGAGATCAGCTCGGTGCTTTGTGATGACCTAGAGGGAGGCTCAAGAGGGAGGGGATATGGGGATATATGTATGCATATGGCTGATTCACTCTGTTGTACAACAGAAACTAACATAGCATTGTGAAGCAATTATACTCCAATAAAGATTAAAAAAAAAAGAAACGGGGTAAGAGTCTAATGATGAACCCACACAAACACAGAGACAGGCAGACAACTGTAAAGGTGTTCAGTCTTCCTGAGGCCAAGCCATAGTTCCTTCTTTGATCTCGCATTACAAGTGTAGAATCGAACAAGATAACTCCAAGATTTATTTAATTACTTAAGTCTATGACATGATGCATCTATGAAGTGGTTACAGGTGAATTTCTCATGCAAGGTTTCTTAATAAAGAAACTGGGAATATTCTGATTCAGGAATGCTTCATTTACTAAATGTAGCAGTGTTTCCCTCAAATTATTAGTTGACAGCAAATACGTACATTATGAATTCAAAGGCCATTCTGTCACACACATTCTCTAGGTTGGAGCACTGGACTCTCTCCCTGTAGGACAGTGACTGGAGAGTGTATGCGTAGTGTAAAGAGGCAAATAGGAGAGACGTGCTTTCTAAACCTGGACTGATGGGCCTCTGTTTGACCACTGATCCTCCAGTAAATAGAAAGGCTCACTCCATGAGTGTCATTACACCTGGCGATGCACAAGCCAAGGCAGATATTGATATCGCCACGGCCAAAGCACGGCTGCTGGCTCCCAGACCCTCCAGGCAGAGCTCCACATCACCTTCAATGAGGAAACCTCCATAAGAACACACACTGCACTGCACCAAAACTACCAGGCTCACCCTGACACCCTAAAAATGACTCGAGCATTCCCTGCAATAAGGCCACATGCTTAGCAACAGAGACACTCAACAGAGATAACATGGTTGAATTTCTAGGCTGTGTATGATTATTAGATTCTTAAGGTTAAATTCTATGTGAAAGGCACCAGTCAATTCAGAAAAGAAGGGTAAGAAGGATGGCAAACATCTTTCAGAAATACAGAGAAGGTAAGTGAAAGACAGAGGGAACTCAGGAGATCAGAGGACTCAGGAACTTTGAGAGAAAGAAGTACACAAACCAGGAAAATGTATTTCCTTTCCATCAGTCTTGGTCATTCTGTTTCTTATGACCTGTATATGGGACCACACCAGCCGTCTTCACGTGGTGCCCCCTTAGTGGATACAGAGGACAGGATTTGGATGGCCTGAGCGCCACCATCCACAAGCTCCCGTTACACAAGGAGTTCCAAGGTAAAGCAACAACAACCAAACCAAAACTTGAAAAACTGCTGAACAACACAACCGTGAGCTATGAAATACAATGTGTCTCTCTCTTTTGGGGAAGAGGAGAGACGCTGGGCAGAGGTCACACAGAGAGGAGCATCTTTTAACATCTAAAAGGCTCCTGACCAGCCTCTTCTTCCATGAGGTTGTCCCCTTCCACTGCAATTCCACCCACCTAAAATTAAACACGTGCTCTCCTCAAAAAGCCTCAGCCCACAACCAGACTGGCCTGTTGCAAGTTCCTGATTCTGTCGTTGACAGCATCCATCCCAGGTCACTGGTACAAAACCGAGGGGCTCCTCCATACCTCCTTCCCCGGCCACCCACAGTGCTATACATGTGGTCAGCACGCCCTTCCTGCCCTTCTCGTTCCCAGTCTGCCACCGGGTCCCGGTCCCGCATCAGCTCCCGGCCGCCCCACGGCAGCCTCCTCACTCCTGAGCCTCGCCCACCTGCAGCCAGCCCCGCACCAGCCAAGCCCTCAAAAATACCTGACTACGCAGATCTCTCTCCCTCTCTCTCCACACTAGACACCGAGCCTTATTATCTACCATGACAGTGGCCTAGACTTTCCTCTCGTGGCAACTGTGTGAGTACGTGTGTAGTCATCTGACTGTTCGTCTCCCCTATGAACCCACAAGCTTCTAAGGTCAGGGGTTGGGTCCTGCTCACTGATGTTGATCCAGTGACCAGAACAGTAGAACTAGGATAGTACTTGACACCTAGGAAGCCCTCTGTAAATCCTGAGGCCTCAACACCACACTGAATGAAGCTTTAACTACCGGCCAGGCACTGAGGACTCTCCACAAACTGGCCTCCACCCCTCTTCCAGCCTCACTTTCTCCTCTTCCTGAGCATGAGCTGGCCTCTAGCCAGGCCTGCCGTTCACTGGCTTCCACACCATAGGTGTCTCTGCACCTTGGCTACACCTTTCTGGAGCCCCTTCCCTCCCCATGACCCAGCTGGGTGGGTCAACCTTGGCTACACATTAGAGTCACCTGGGATGCTTTTAAAACTCCCAATACCCAAGGGCACACCAGATCAATGAAATCTGACTCTCTGAGGGTGGAACCAGACAACAGTGTTTCCCAACATGCCACCAAGATTGAGAACCACCTACCTCACTCAAGCCCACCAACGTCTCAAGGCCTAGCCCAGGCCCTCCTCCTCCACGAAGCCTCTCTGACTCAACTACTGTGCCCTTGGACCTGAAGAAATGGCATTCACTGCTACATCCCACGTCTCCTCACCCTGACCGTGAAGTCCTCGTGAACGCCCTACCTCAACGCTACATCCTCCATCACAGTGCCTTACACACAGCTGAAAGAAGGGGGTCCCCAGCTGCTTTGAGTGGCATCTCCTTTTCTTTCTGCTGCCCACCTTCTAGTGCTAATGATCAGTGAAACACCCGGAATGCGTGCATCGAGATGCGTCAGACTTCTTGCATTTACTTCCAAACTGATTAAAACCTCTCTATAAAACACGGAATAAGCTAAATTATTTTGGTAAACATGAAATTTTCCATATAGATCCGTTTAAATCAACTCCATTCTTCATGGCCAAAAAGCATGATAATAGCATAAATGCTGCAAAACAACTCACAAGGCAAATATAAAAGACTCGGTGTCTCCTTTATGATGGGAAAAGAGAATAAATATCCCATTTCAGCAGGTACTACACGATGACTCAGCAATAGGCTCTAAAATCTAACACATGAAAGCAACCATAGCAGTGGTGCTCAGACTGTGTTAATGAACTCGTGCTAAAGAAACAGACATTTTCATGAGGGTAAAACACTGGTTGGGGCAGAAGGACCTGGACCAAACTCTAAATGTGATCTAAAAGCGCTTAATAACGTTGGCCAGGAGAAGCAGGAACAGATAGGAAAGGGAGGTAGGGAAAAGGGCTGATTTTTCTCCAGAGCTCCAGATGTCTCTATGGCTGCCTAATGACAATTACACTCAACCAATTAAGACACCACTATGACAGTTGCATTGTCAGTAAGCCTTTGGACCCCAATGTTGATGGCTCTCTAATTAGTGTCTGTGCAAAGCACAACTGCGACTAATATATTAGCTGATGTAAGAACACTAAAGAAAAACTAAGGAAGAAAGAAGCCTTTTCCAAACGAGTAAGGATGTCCCGGCCCACGGCACGGACCAGTGAAGCTGTATGCTTTTCCCAGTCTTTTTTTATGCTTGGCAATGTTGAATTCACCTCCAAATAAATAGGTCAGAGACCACAGCTGATTTTTTGTTGAAAGAATGGGAATAGAGCCTCTTTCAAGCTCGGCACACCAGACCAACTGCAAATTTAAAATGATTTACCACTGAAGAGCTTTCATTAACTAGGACATTTCCAATAAGCAGACTGCTTATTTGGACAAGGAGACCTGAAGAAAAGGGAAGAAGTACTGTACAGCTGCAAACAACCTTGAACCTTTCTCCTCGTCTAAGGAGCCAAGCAGGTAGGAGCTGTGGGGGGATGGTTCCATTTTGCTTCCAGCTGCCAGTGATTTGCTAAAAAAATTTTTTTCAAGGCTCTTCACAACAACCTGGGGCACTGTTTAAA